TTGGTTACGTCGTACGTACTACTACTACTACGTACTCGTCGTGTAGTATATATATATATATATATATATATATATATATATATATCTCTTAAAAAGTGTGGCAAAGGACCCAGGACCCAGGACCCGAGGGGTAGAGTCTGGGTATGAGTCCAAAAATTGGACCCATTGGGTTGGGTTCAGATCTAGTAATATTTTTTCGAGTCTCAATATATGAATATATTTTAATTTAATTAAATATGTAACTATTTTAATTTTTAGGTTAGGTCCGGTCGGGTCCAAGTCCAGGACCGGCCTAGACCCCGACCAGGTGCCACCCCCTCCTTTATCTCTTATGCTTTTGACATTTTGCATCACTCTTTTGAACTTTAACAAAATTTCATTGAGAAAATGAAATAGATTTACAGGTGGATAAAGGAAAAGAAAGAGAGCATATATAGAAACAATCCGGTCTCTGCAAGGTACTCTCAAAAGAATAGAGATGGCCCTTTTTCCACTCTCTTTTCTCTAAATTTTTTTTGGGTGAGCCAATGGAGATGGCCCTTTTTCCACTCTCTTTTCTCTAAATTTTTTTTGGGTGAGCCAATGGAGAGAAGGCCCTTATCCTTAAGGGGTAGGAATTGAGTCTAAGATTTAACGTTGCTAATCGTCAAGCGCTAACCAATTAAGCCCGGTGCTCTTTTCGTCTAGATTTTAAAATAGATATCTCCATATCTACGTATTGGGATGGCTTGACCATTATGGAAAACCACAAGTTCGATTTTAACACGCTTGCAAGTTGGTAAAAGGAATCTCCCTTTTTAAATCTTCTTGGTGAAATGTCAAAAGACATAAGTGATGCATTACAAGGTCTCAAACATTTACATCAAGGCATAGTGATCCAATTCATGCTTAGCTATTTGACATGTCCTCCCCGCCAGATATAAGTCAATCATCCAGTCAAAACGATTTTCAAAATGTTAAAAATAATAGCGATAATAGTTAAAAAAGGTGATGTATTGAAAAATTCTTAATTTTTTCTAACTTGTATGGCTAGCTAAATCGGTCAAATGTTAGTTTTGATCCGTTTTCGATAAAACCGTCTTTTTTTTTAACTTTAGATTTGACTGTTCAAGGCATCGGTTGGCGGTTTGACTAAGTAGTTGGTCCGGTCTTGAAAAAAATGGATGCAAAATTCTTAACCTAGAAATCAACGTTAAAAAAAGAAAAGAAAAAAAAAAAGGAATAAATAAATACATTCTGTGTGTTGCGATCGAAAGGACACCACCCAATTTTTTATGGTCAGATCTAAGAGTTCAAAAACTCAAATCCTTTTTTTGTCATTTCATCTTGTGATTTTACTTTTGACCCCAAATTTTAAATCAGAAAATACTTTCAAGTTGATATTTTACCTGATGGAGCAACAATCCAGTATTCTTCGCTTGATGTTGTTTCTAAGTCTAAACTAAAAAAGATTGTCTACAAAGAGACCATTTATCTTTTTTACATAAAAGTGACAATCATTTCCACTTTTTAGACCTAGACCTGGCCCATTAAGCTAATGTACTTTACATGAAGGCTTGGCCCTGCCCGAAGGTCCCCATGACGGGCCGGACCTCGAGGACCTAATGGGCGAGCCACTTGTCTCCTAATAGAAGTCACTAATTTTAACTTTGAAATCCCTTATGCACACGAGGGGAGGGGGGGAAGAAAACAATTTTGTAAGGAAAAGGAGAATCTACAACAAAAGGGATCGTTTGTAATGTGTGACGCCTATTCAAGTTTGACACAAAAAACAAGCCCGATTATGGTATTTTGTGGCATCCTCAGTGGACTTATCGTTAAAAAGTGGTGGATATTTTATTGCATGCACATTATTATACCTTCGCTATTTGCAATCCTTATAGCATTTCACTATCAACAAATAGAATGGACGAGGGAAAAACATACTTTTTATTTGAAACCTATTGATTTGGCCGACCTTATTATAGTTAGGTGACACATGCCTGGTTCAAGCGTTTTTGAGGGCTCCATAAAGGTCGGATTGCATTGGTTGAAACTCTAAATTATTCTATGTGGCGAATTTTGGCACTCACTTATTTTATGCATAGTTTATGATGTGAGTTTTCAACCGAAAAAGTATACAAGAAGATTATTTACCTTTAGTGCAAAAAATACCACAATCATTTTTAGCTGTACGATGCGAAATTGGGTAAAAAAAAATGTTAAAATTTTAAAAAAAAATACAAAAAAATAGGAAATAGATGTTTAAAGTAAGGTTAAGCAAAACATATCTACATGAGAATAAAAAGTATTAAAAAAGAAAAAAGAAAAAAAGTAGATTTTGAAAATTCATTTGTTACTTGAGATGTTTTTGAAATAAACTAAAAAAGATGAAAAAATATAAAAATATGTATTTATGGGCAAAACACATTCCAATCTTTGTCAAAATGATAAAAGACTTAAAAAATATACCACAAATAAATTCTTTATTTTTTGGGATTTTTTAATGCTTTTAATATCCTTGAGTGGAACACCCAACTCGAAAAAACTGGGTAGGTTGACTTAGTAGGGTTGGGGGTACTGAGTGCTGCATGGGCTAAAGTCCAATCATACTAGAAGTCTCTAACAGGTGGTATCAGAGCTTCAACCTCAGACGTGTCCCTTGTGGTGGCGCCGTAGGAAAGAGGCACTAGTGAGAAGCTGCACACCGAAGACTAGGTGGCAAACCTAGTGGAGCGAGTGGATGATTTAGAAACCTCCCTCGAAGTAGTGGAGGAACTTATTTTTACAACCAGTTGTCCTTTGAGAAGGCTCGACAACACTAACTAGGGTTGTGTCATTGAATGCGTTCAAGTTTGAAAATATTTTTTGAACTTCATGACACACTCTTAAAAAAATAGTATTTCACATCGCCGGCTAAAGATAATTATGACATTGGGAAATAAAAGTGCGTTGCGGAATCACCAAAACTGGTGCCTCGCCCATCGGGAAAATCATATTTCTGGTGCAGGCACCCCAAACAATTTTTAGATACCCTTAGAACGTGTTGATCTTGAGTTTGATTCAATTTGGAGCTCCAACAAATGTTCAAATACAAGTGATTTCATGCCCATGGAAATGGATTGTCCAGGCTGGAATTTTTTTTTCTTTTAATGTTTATATTTAAGGCATTTCTTGTTATCCAAATCCACATTTTTTTGTGAATTCTATTTTCGGGGTGTGAGGTAATGTTCTCAAAAAAAAACTCTAGTCTCTCCCAGGCTGGTAATTTCGTTTTACTAGTAGGTGGAACAACAATTTTGGTTATAGGGAAAGCTTTCTATATTTCTCCTATAACATAGAAGTTATATTTTTCCCTCTACCATCTAGCCGTCCATTTTTTATTAAGAGAGCTACTCACCATTTGATCTTAGATCCGACGTCTTAAAAAATTTTATTTTTAGTTTTTTTTAATACAATTTTTTTTGAATATGAAATTTGGTACGTGCCATCTTCTC